TCCAGCTGCAATCACCCCCACATTGCTCTTTGTGAATAGCTGTTGATTCCTCCAGCAATCACAGAAAAAGGATCATCTGGCTTCATAAGTACATGGGCTTGAATTCTGACCTGGCTCTCCTGCCCCCTGAAACCTAGCTGTGGGAGCACTCTACCCGTTTCTGCAGTAAATGGAAGCGTGCCATTCAGCCAGGGCGCTTGCTTAGAGAACAGTGCTTTCTGGAGCCCTGCCAACCTCAGAGAATTTACCCAGGCGATCCAGGAAACACAACCATTTCCATGTATGGACATTTTCCTTTACCAATTAAGAACAAAGGGGAGTTGTTGGCTCTCTCCCCACTGATCGCTATATTTTACATTGAACATTTTTAGGCAAACGTCTCTGTACTTAGATCAAGAGCAGGGAATGGAGACCAATCACCCTATCCATTGCTGGCATGTTAACAGCTAGTGCTTCAACTTTATCACAAGTGCGTTGGAAAGGAGGTGGCATACCAGACATTCCTCTCGAGAGTTAACTAAGGTAATGACAGAACTCCAGGCACAAATCAGCATGTCACCTACAATTCTATTTGGGAGGTTGAGGTGGAGACATGACAGTGAAGGGATCTGCCCAGCATTGTGAAAAGGAAAGTCCCCTGGGTGAGGAAGACCTGAAAATGAAACAATGGGCTGAGGGGACTTCCAGGGCCACAACCTTCCGGACCCCACCCCTGGAAGTGCCTTAGGACCGTCCAGCTTGCGTCAGGAAAACTGCAATGAACTGGTTCCCTTGGACACCAGGATCACACTCGAGGGGGAAGTGAAGATGAAAAGCTTGGAGCTGCCGGGGCACACAGTTACTTCCAGGGTTGGCATTCCTGCCTCTAAGCAAATAGTTCGAAAAGACACTCTTACTTTTTGTAAATGAGCACAGCAGACAGAATTTCAGAAGCGTGGCCTTTCTGCCCAAAGGCCTGAGGTGGCCTTTGGCTTGAAGCTCCTCAGAGTTTATCAGGCCCAACAGGGATTTCAGGCCTGGACTCTGCTGTGATTTTGTCACAACACATGCAGACAGAATTTACATCCAATCTTAATTGTGGGCTACATTGAGTTTTGGAGATTTCCTCTTTTTTTAAATACCATTTTTATTTAGGTACAATTTATTTCGGGTGCTATAATTTAAAGATAATATAATTGACCTGGTTTTGTTTTTTTTTTTAAAGATTTATTTATTTGTGCATACAGAACTGGAGTACAGGCCAGAGGTGCAGGGGCGGCGAGAGGCTTCACCAGAGACAGAGTGGGGAACAGAACAGGCAGATCTACGAAGTACACTGCTGAGGGGAGCAGTGGGCGGGTCAGGAGAGGTCTGCCGCACCATGTGGTCACCTCCGGGGCAGGCAGGAATCGAACTCATGCGGAAGTGGTTTCAGATTCTTGGTGCTGTGCTTCAACCCGCTGTGCCACCAGGGAGGGCCTGAATTGACCTGTTTTAAGCGTTTAGTTTGATTACTTTGGACCAGTGATATTTCAGAATATTTCTTCCTCCAAAATTACCCTTATGCCCCACTACAATCTTTCTTCTACTCCTAGTAACTACTGATCTGTTTTCTTTCCTTCAAGAAAACCACATAGGAGCTGGTCTTTCATATCTGGCTTCTTCCATGTTCTGTGTGTATCTCTTCATTCCTTTTTATTGCTGGACAATGTTGAGTTGATTTTTGTCTGAATTTTAGGGGAAAGTATTAATTTGGGTCACGTGGAAAAGCACATAGGTTTTTGTTGCTTTTCTGAGAAGCATGTGTTGATTGAAGTTAATCATCAATATCTCTTTAAATTTATTTTACTTTTAGATTTTCCCTGAAATAAAAGGTCCATTACCCCTTCATTTAAAATTTCAAGTGCAAACAAAACAAAACAAAACACTTGTACCATCAGGTGGACAAATCTGAATGTGAGGAAATTTTCAGATATTTAGCAAAAGCAAAATGAATAATTCCAAGTAAAAGTTAATAAGGACATGAATCTGGATTAGACTAAGAGTTCAACAGAAGTTTAAAATTACAACTGAATAGTCAGTAGAGGAGTTGAATTAATGGTTATAAGAAGAAAAAAAACCAATGCTGCTAATGCCCTAAATAGGAACACCGCTAGAGATTGTTACAGCTGACTTGTACAGTGCTTATGATGTGAGCACTAGCTTCATCATCAGCTCATTAGTTTTCCCAAAAACCAGGTGAGTTTCTGTTGTCCCATTTTACAGATGAGGAAACAGGGCCAGAGGAAACTAAAAAGCCTGGAGCAGAGATGAAGCCAGGGTTTGGACCTGGGAATATGCTCTCTGGCCTGTAATTTCCCAGAGTGTTTTTCATCCAACAATGCACTGGAGAGAAATTTTCAAACTTCTACTGGGGTTGATACCTCCCTGAGCAAGGTAGGAAATAAAGCTGGAGCTCCAGCTGAGCCAGAGGGGTTGCTTCAGTGTGTGAAGAGGCCCAGGGCAAGTCTGGGTGGGAACTGAGAAAACCAGGAAGAGGTGTTCACCTACGAGAGGCTGCAGGGTTGACCTGGTGTCCAGGGCCTGTTTTCTACTTCAGGTCTGGTGACCTCTGAGAGGCCTTTCAGTCCTAACATGTTAGAAAATCAGAAATATTTGCTCAGAGTCTGATGTGATGTGGGTCAAGTTGTAATGGGTGTTGATAAATAATCATTTGCTACAGGTTGAATTCACTCCATTTTGTGACTTTGCTTATTTATATACTTTAAAATCTGACCTACCATTGAGCTTATGGACCCTGGAATAGATCACTGGTTTTGAATCTTGACTTTGCCACTTACTAAGATGGAGATTTTGAGCATGTTACTTAACTTTTCTGTACTTCTGTTTTCTCATCTGTAAATGGGAAAATTAAGAGTACACCTATTTCTTAGTATTGTTTAAAAGACTAAAGTGTAACTGTGTAGAAAGGCAATAACAAAGAGTACATACTACGTATGTTCTAGCTATAATATATTGCTAATAATAGATGATGATAATGATAGATGAAAACCTCTGTCCCATGTTTTGAGATATAATACATGGCAGCAACTTGTGCTAAAATGCAGTTTCACCTTCAAGACTTTATTTTGTCCACATCCTATTCCTTGTTCCTGCAGTACAATTATACCAATGGGTAAGAACGTAAGGACTTGTGACATATTGCAGCCTCTTTAATATGCCACCTACTAGGAGAGAAAATTCTAAATCCCTAGTCCCTGTAGCAGTAATCAGACACTATGAATGTTGACAGAGAAGACTATGGTGTTTGAATTCTGGAAGAAGCAGAACAGAATCAAATTTGGAATGAGAAAATTGGAGTTTCCTTTCTATTCCTCATGGGTTGTTGCTAAAGACTTTAGAGAGGGTGTTAGCCTTTTCCAGTAACCTCCCTCACCCCTCTTGTTCTTTGATGCCACTATCAGATATGGGTCGTTCCTGAACTTCTCACTCATGCTCCAAGTTCTATATAAAACTTTCCTCAGCTATCCCAGTCAGCCCTCCTTAGTCTCCACTGTAGGTATAAACTGATGTTCTTATACAATTGACAATCATGTACACATGACTCTTGAACAATATGATCTTGAACTCCAAGTATCTACTTATCTATGTGTTTTCCTCCCCAATAAATACAGTTGGCCCTCCAGACACAGATTTGGTTGGTTGAATCTGCTGATATAGAGGGCTGATGATAAGGGATTTGCAGAATCCCTGGATTTCAGTAACTGTGAAATCCCCCACAGAAATCAGGGATGACTTTGGTTAAGTTTTGGGGGAGCCAACAATTACATGTGGATTTTCAGCCATGATGGAGCTGGCCCCTCCAGCCACAGCACTGACCAAGGGTCAACTGTACTGTCTTATCTTATTTTGTTGTGCTTAATATTATCAATAGAATTATCCAGAGAAAGTTCAGTAAACAACAATTTATTGGGAACTTTTGCAGGCCTTGATGATAAAGAGTACCTTGGCTGTTTCTGCTAGACTATATAAATTGTGTGTGTGTGTGTGTGTGTGTGTGTCATTTTAACTTCTCTATTAGGAGCCAAAATCTTCTTTTTGACAGTAACTTTCTGAATTTTGCCACCAACCTTCTTAGGGAAAGAGAACATGGAAAATATACCAAGATTTGCAGGTATTACTCACTTCACTTAGCACAGTGGTCTTAGATGACACGGTTGGTCTCATCATTTTCTAATGGACCCATAGGTAATGCATGGGAAGCATACTCTCCGATCAAAAAAGGAGTGTGAAATCTGGATCCTCTTTCTTATTTAACTCAGAACATTTTTTGAGCACCAACCATGATTGTGAGTGAGAGCTGCACTGGTTGTTAGGTAAACTTATAGGGAGACCCCGCCAGTCAACTGGCCACTTAGTAAATAGCAGCAGGGGATCAGGAAGTTTTGAGGACCCAGGAGACCCTTGGTTTCAGCCTGGTGATGCTGGGGAAAAAGAAGGAAGCACCCGCTGAGTGGATGGGCTGGGGTAAGGCTGCTGGATTTCAGGGAAAGATTGAGCCTCCGCCAGAGGGTGGAGAGGAGAGGACCCTGTTGCCCTTCTCCGGGGGACCTCTTTTTCCTTACTTCTCTCAGAGGAGAGCGCATAAGGGCTAACGAATCATTTCTGAGTTTGCGCACTTGAGACTGGGCCTCCCAGTTTGAGGAAGGGGCGGGCTGCTGCCTACCTCTGTTATTCTGCCCCGGACCACCCAGGGAGTGAAGGAGGGCTCTGGGAGAACCTGACAGGCACTTTTCTCCAAAAGGTTTCCAGGGCCGCAGCGTCGGCACCACGCCCTGGCCTGGCCAGGTGTGTGCCCTCCGTGAGGCGAGTGGGGAGCCCGGCGGCGGCGGTGGTGAGCGCTTTACGGCTCTGTGTGTGCTATGTTTGTCTGCCTCCCGAGGGCTGGGTCCTCCTTATTCACAGGTGAGTCACACCCTGAAACACAGTCTCTCTTCCTGTCAGGATTGAGTCAGGTTGAAGAGTCGATAAAACCACCTGATCAAGGAAAAGGAAGGCACAGCGAGCGCAGTGAGAACTCCAGCGCAAGGCGCCGCCGGGCAGCGACCCTGCAGCGCAGAGGCGCCCGGCCCGGCCATGCCCACGCCCTGGCTCAGCCGCTGCCTCTGCTTCTCGCTCCTGCTGTTTGCAGCTCAGGCCACTTTCATGAGCGAAGGTGAGTCGGCCTCTTGGAGGGAGCCTCGCAGCCCCAGGCTGGGAACCGGCCTTTCTCTGCAGACCTTGAGGGCTGAAATCACCTCTGAGGATTCTGGCTTTGTTCTGACCTCTTTTCGGCCCCCTCCTCCTCTCCCACCTGGCGCTTCTCCAGAGATCCGTTCTCAAATAAGACTAACATTATATAAAGCTGTCTGACTTTTTTCAGTGTGCAGCCAATCGGCTGTGCCGAATCAGAACTTTTCTTGCTTCCCAGTAAGAGTTTTCCTGACTTCCAAAAAGTTCCTTCTTGATTACTTTTTTTGGATCAAGGCGCTTCTCTTGAATCATTCAAGTGTTAGCAGATAATTTCTCTCCCTCCTGTGTGTTTTTACTGACGGGATTTGCATGGGAACGCTTTCTGTGATAGTGAACACCACAAAGATGGTAAAGGCACCTCTTCAATAATCCTTCTGGAATTCCTGTTTCATCTTTGGGATGGAAAATTAGCCTACTTTTGTGTAATGCCATTTTTTAGAGTACTTTCACCTAAGATTCATCCAACAGGCATTTATTGGGCATCTATGTCGGCTCACTTAATCTTATTTAAGGCACCCAGCGGCTGTCATTTTGTGAGAAATTCAGTTCATGCTCATGCTGAGCAACTCGCACCTAGCAACTGTTTACTGTATGCTGGTGTCAGCTGTGACAACATGTAGCGGGTGTTTTCCTTGTCACTTAGTTTTTGCTAGCACTTGTCCTTATAACTACCCCGAATTTTAATATTGGTATTGATGCCCACCTGAAGGCATTTCAGTAATCCTTTCAGTAGATCCAAGAGCCATTGTCACACAAGAGCAAATTGTGAGCCCGAGCCAGTGTTCACTTGTATATGGAATTAGCTTAACATTCCATTTATTCCTGCACAATCTGGGCGATGCTGGCCTGGATTGTCTTTGAATGACCTGAATAAGATTTTGGCATGAGTCTGAATGCATTGAGTCCATTCTCTTTTTTTCTTAAACTAATATTAGGATTAATTTCCACTCCATCATCCTTTACTACCACTTTAAAAATCACTTATGAAAATGATCATGTAGGTTAGGTGTCATTACAGTTAAAATAAATAGCTTTAACCAAGTAAAAATTGTCTTCAAAGATCCCTGTGACTATGAAAATACAAAGGAAGCTATTTATGGGTCAACTTGTCTTAAAAGAATCCCTTGGCTTCCAAAAAATATAAATGATTTGTGCAAAACCACTCAAACAACTATTGGCAAAGACAAAACTATTAGTTGATCCAGGGGCTCTTAGACCTTGGAGTTTTGGGGAATATCTAATAAAGATAGTAAGGAAACGAGGTCCCTATGTTTAATATGAAGAGTAATGATTGAAACAATTTCCCCATGCACTGTATATGAGTGTATATGTGTGTGTTCTCATTGGATGTGGAGGATGCGATCAATTGTTTAACAAAATCAGACTCCAGAGGACAGAGCTTGGACTCTCACGTTTCAAGGTTGGACCAGCTCTGAGCATTCCATCCAGACCGTTAATTCAGAAGCAGCGTTTCATTTCATTTGCGGACTCTCCCCGTCCTTGGAGATGAGCTGCTTCATGGAGGCTCCTTCCTTGAAGGCCTCCATGTGAGAGCTCAATGAAAATGTGAAAAGCTTAGTGTCGGGATGGAACACACATTTTTTTCCTTTCATGAGAGGCTGGGGAAAGGTGGAAGTAGAAGTGAAATTGTGGTAGGAGTGAAAGTGGTCACCTTTCATGTGTGTGTCCAGGGGCTGTGTTATGAGAGCCTAAAGCAATGGCTCTACTTCCTGGTGGTTTCCTTGCAGGGGAGATTATGATGTTAGATCTAGTCTGCAAGGTTTTGGGGGATGGTCTCAATTAAGTTGACCTGACTTTGAATATATGGCTGACTCACTCCTCACTACTTGAAATCTGCTTCTTCACCTGTTTAGCAGAGACAGTGGTACTGTGAAAACTTGGAAAGTGATTTAAAGAATGAGATGATTGTAAGTGCCTTAATATGCCTGGAACCACACTTCCTGTAAAAGCAGGAAGCCAACATTCCAGTTCTAATAAACTTGGATGCCCAGAGATCTATAAGAAAGCTAAGGACTTCTGGAGCCCACAGTTTGATATGTTAGAGTGTGGCAAATTGCACCAAAGATCTGGGCCATAGTTTACAAGGGAAGGTATAACTGGAAATGGTGTGAGAAGGCAGTGGAAATGAAACTAGAAATAAAGACAAAAATTTGGGTGTGAAAAGCCCGGCTGTGCTGTGAAGATGGTGTCCTGGAGGCAAAAAAAAGAGTTGGAAATGGTTTCCAAGCAGCAGTGAACATGGTCAGATTCAGGTTTCCAAGAGATCACTCAGCTTAGAGGGTACAGTTTGGCTAGGAGAGGATTATTGCCATGTGATAATCCACATGAAAAATGATGACGCCTTCTATCAAGGTCTTGGAAACAATAAAGAAGAAACCAATAGATGTTGGAGACATTTAAAAGGTAAAAGCAAAAGAGTTTGGTGTGGGGTGAGTTTGCAGACATACACATGAGGGAGAAATATGGAGAAATCTAAGACACATTCAAGGATTCAGTTTTGTGTGATTGTTTGGACAACTGATGCCATTAAAGTCAATGAGGAAGGGAAGATTTGGGAGCAATTGAATGGGGTGGTGAGTGATGGGGGAGGGAGTGTGCTGATGGGGACTTATTGAACCTGACATGTTGAATAGACATCCACCCGTCCCAGTGAATAGCTGAAACTATGATTTTGAGGTGTCAAAGAAAGTTTGATATATAAAATTGGGAACCCAAAGGTGGAAAGTTAAGCCTCAAAACTTAGCAAGGAGATGGAAAGGAGAATAGGAAAGAATGTGCATTGAGGATAGAGGAGAAACCCTAAAGCAGAGTATTTTGTTAGCCAAAGAAAGAGTTTCAACAATGTAGATGTGGTACCTGACATTCAGATATCAAATATTAATATACAAAGAATTAAGACCAAACTGACTCTGTTGGGTTCAGCCATCAGGTATGTTGTTGTTGGTTTTTTTTTTTATTTCAGCCATTAGGTATGTTTTGAAGCAATTGTTCTGAATGGTGGAATCCTCAGATACTTCTTTTGCCACCCACAAAAGGTGATGAGGAGTCCTTCTGCTCAGACTGAAGTGAACCCCAAATTTTACCTAACGCAACAGATAGCATACATGACACAAAACCCATAGCAGATTTTTTTTTAAGATTTATTTATGCATACAAGAATTGGGGTACAGGCCAGAGGTGCGGGGATGAGAGGGTCACCAGAAACAGAGTAGGGCACAGAACAGGGAGATCTACTGAAATATACTGCTGAGGGGAGCAGGAGGTGGGTGAGGAGAGGTCTGTTGTGCCATGTGGGTCACCTCGCTGGCTGGGGCTTGAAGGAATCAAACTCGTGCTGCAGTGGCTGTGGACAGCTTCATAGTGCTGTGCTTTAACCCGTTATGACACCAGGGAGGGCTGCAGATGGGTTTTCAAGATTGGATTTCATGTCCGCTCTTCTTGCTTTTGGTCCACAAGCAGACCTCATCACCATCAGTCTGTTGGTCACTGGAACATGCCAAGTGTAAAGTGATTCATATAAGATAGACTTGCACCTCTAAATGGGAATGCCTGACACCACATACATACACATACACAAATAATAAATTAAAAGGATAAATGAGTATGAGAGCATTTAGTGATAGAGATACAGTGGTCATGTCTCCTACATTTAACTTAGGAAATTAGTTACCCACCATATTGAAATTCTCATCTCTTGTAAGAGAACTTAGAAGTATTCATCTGCTTATTCACATAGCTTAATTATTTTCAAAGGCTCTCCATTCTCTTTTAACATTGCTGAAGCCAACTTAATAGAGTTTCTTCACTTCTGTGAAGTAGCTTGAAATGTGGTCCTGTTTGAGTCTGCTTTTGATGCTGCTATTGGAAAGTACACCATTTTCAAAACATTTAAAAGTCTTAAAAATTCTCCTTAAACGCACATTGTGATTTCATAATCATCTTGAAAGACTTATGAGAACTTCAGCACTCATAATTGCAAAATAATGAACAATTATGAGAACTATGTTGGGTAGCTTGACCTCCTTCTTACTTACAAGCATCCAGAACATGGAAATAACATATCATCCCCAAAATAATGCTTAATTTTTAAAATAAAGTAGAGAACTGGAGAACTTCTAAAAGCATTTAAATGTGAGCTTTATTTCCCCCTATGGGGAAAAATTGCAAAAATGAAAATCTCCATCTTCTACTCAGGTATATAAAATAAACAGGGATATAGAATTGGGTTTGAGTATAAGCTAAAGATCCCATGTTATCTTAAATTCAGGGTGTCTTGAACTGGGAGAAGCCACTGGTTTAGTTCCACTGGCCCAAAACTAAGGAAGAATGTTGATATGTGATCAGTGCTTCTGGAAGTCAGAGCATGAAACTGAACAACTGTGGCCTCCCTGGGAATATTTGTGTCATTTAGTGGCTCGATTATATTGACCTTTTTTTTTTTTCCCCGGAAAGATTTGATGACAAGATCTGAACCATCTATTAGAGTATGGAAATGGGGATTCCATAGACTCTGGAATATTCTAACTTAGTCACAAGTCAGACCTAGTAGATTACTGAGTCATTGCTGGGCTGCGTCCTAATATAAGCACCAGGTATGTGAGGTAATACTTGACTCATATCCAAAGCCTAAAGCTAGGTCTTTTCTGTATTGGTGGGTAACTGTAAGGCTGTCTATGTGTCTCCCCAACAAACAGTACTGTCTTGTGTCACCATGATTAAGGAAGAAAAGAATGATGCTTTTCCTATATTGATTAACTAATACAAGGATGGAGTCTTCCCCTTCTGCTATGTTGGAGGAGAGGTGCAGATTGACTAGTCAAAGCTATACATGGCCTGGACTTCTTCAAGCTTGTAGACCATTTACATAATTCCAGCTGTTTCCTTACCAAAGTTCACTTTTAT